TGTTCGATAGACGGCGCGTGGTTTGCTGCGAAACGAGCAAGATCAATCGCGTCGTATTCGGCCTTAAGGTAAGCTTAACCTTGGCTGTTATATTGAACAAACTTAAGAATTTGTGTGTAAATAATAGTATTTCAACCCCTCAATCCTTTTAAAATTCCCATGCAGTCTTATGCTTTCGTCAAATCCCGAGCGGTTGCATGCGACCGCACCCACTCACACGTAGACAGAGAAACCTATAGACAAATTGACGCTTTCTCTCGCATTCGCACACGAAAAAGATAGATTTATGCATACGTCTTGCATAGAAATGAGACAGAGCGGTGTAATTGTTTATCTCTTTCTCCGTGCCGGTTTTTTTGTTTAACTAACTACACTTTGATAAACAAAGTTTGACAGTTCGTATTGATCTAAGGAGTTTACAAGTTGGTTTAAGTGAGAAAAAAGTGTTTTGTGATCTTAAGATTGGTGAATCTTGTTCAGTTCAGTTCTTAGAACAAGATAAATTATATTCACACAAAAACTTTCATAACAATTTTGTAATATAAAAACTGTTCCTAACTTAGAAAAATACAAAAAACAACGCAACAATGTATGTATATGACTAACTGAATTTTTAATTAAGAGGATAGAAAATTTCATATTGATTCTATAATGCCAAACTTCTTCATAGAAAGGTAGTCTTCAAATATAAGTTAATATGGTTATAACACTGTGGGTGTGTGCGGTCTCATGAGACCGCTTAGGGATTTGATGGAATACGACCGCGATCCCATGAAACCGCTAGAAGATCGAGCAAAGACTTATAATATTTTAAAGAGTCAAAGGTTCAAAGCTTTGATTAATTCACTAAACAAGAATATTATTATTCAATAAGTGTTTGGGAAAAGGTATATTGTAATCGTCTTTTTCTCAAGAATTTTAAATTCAATATCTCACAATAGCTTTTTAAACCTTAATTATTTAAAATAAAATTTTTGAAGGCTTCGTTAATACGAAAACTAAGAAAACAATCACAGAAAATTGAGTGAAATAAACGCTGCTTTAGAAAGGTTGACTTGACGAAGGTCATGGTGCTGAATGTTTGTGAAAGTTATGTCAGCGATCGAATTAAAATATAAGTTATTATTTTTCGCCATGGTATAACTTAGTATAACTCAGTTCTTCACAGTAAACATTTATAGTAATTATCATAGCGTTCGGTAAGAATCTGTGATGAATCACACCGGCGTTAGACCACCAAACAGTGAATATCGCTTTTTTAGGGGTCAGCTTTCGTTTAGGGCATTGTTTAGGCGCTGAACCAGGATTCAAACAACTTGCTGAGCGCTTGCTTTTGTAAACCAGAATCTATTTTTCGTCGCAGGTTATAATGCGATTCAAAATTCTTTCATTTGTGCCTATTGTGCAGTGCAAGGCACGTCTCGACGCGTACTTCGCGCTGGCAATCATTGAGTTCATGGGGCACTCATTTGATTTTTTACCTTGGCAATTTTATTGTTTAGATGCTAACGTTGAAAGCTGTTGCTAATTCAGCCGTATATTGAGTATTATCTTATAAGTTTTTGTTTTCATGTAAAGTATTTTTATTATCAATATCGGGGTATTCATAGAGTACTCTCATCTGGTTGGGATAAGTAAATATAAAAAGGAAATGATCAATATACATAAATATACATTTGTAACATAAATAAATGAATAATGAATAAATAAATAAAAGCCTAACCAGATGTAATCCCTCGGTAGGGGAGACCAAACGGCGGTGGGTTAGGGAGCAAGGGAAAGAAACCGGCGGACGATGCAGGCGGTATCGAGGAGCACCGCCTTCTGCATTTGATCCTGAAGCAGTCCGTCACGGAGTCCCAGCCACCTTAGATGACTTGAGAGGCTGACTGGGATTAGCCCGTTTGCAGGAACGACTACAGGAATAATTTCGGTCAGCAGACCACCCCACATGTCGGTCACCTCGTGAGCCAGGTCCAGATATTTTGTTTGCTTATCCGTAGCGGCTTTCACGAGGTTCTCGTCATAAGGAATGGTAATGTCGACCAAAAATATTCCTTGACTGTGCCCGGTCTATCAGCACAATATCAGGCATATTTGCAAGAATAGTCCTGTCTGTGATGATGGCCCGGTCCCAGTAGAACCTGACGCGATCATTTTCGCGCACGGCTTCTGGCAAATACTTGTAATACGGCAATTTCCGGTCCACGAGACTGTCTTTCAGAGCGAGCTCCTGGTGTAGAATCCTGGCTACTAGATTGTGCCTGTGCAAGTTCTCAGAGTTAGAAAGCGCCGAACAACCGGAGATAACATGCCTAAGTGACTCACGGGGATGGCTACAAGCTCGAATGATGTCGACGGTGCCATCCTTTAGGATGTATCTCCGATAATTGTTGGTCTTAATAACCTGATCCTTAAATGCACAGACAAAACCCTCGGTTTCCCCGAAGAGGTCACGGAAACGTAGCCAGTTGATGGAGGCGACTATATCTACGAAGGGCTCATGTATAGCCCTGTAGTCCCGTGGAGCTCCTTCTCCTTCCATACGGTCTCCTGGTGGGAAATGCTTTGTACTGCCGGGTCCTGCCATTGCTCGTTGGCTAAGGATAGAGGGGTAAGTCCTTTTTCATAAGAAATGACGTCCTTATAAAATGGAACACCCAATCTCGCCATGAAGTAATTACGGAGGCTGCACACTTCGCGGTTATGCATAGTGAGTGGGTTAAGTGTGATGACCCCTCTAATATCTGCTTCACAAGTACTCACAAGAATTAGGCCGTGCGTCATAGCACGGGTTGCTTAATAAGAGATATTTTAATATAAATACTAGGCTAAGTTAACTGTAAGACGGATTAGTTTTGGAAGTAATTATAAGCTGTAACGCTGTAATTTTGTATAAATAAATTATTTTTTTAAATAAAGTCGTTGTCGTCAACTTAATTGGCGCAGCCGGTAGGATATTCGTAGTTTTCTAGGAAGAGTCTGTGTCGTCGGTTATCATTCAGTACCAGTATCCCGACAACGTGCGTTTCAACGCTTGGACGAATAACACCGAACAAACAAATAAATTAAGGACTTCGCGACTTCAGTAGAAACAGCTATAGCATTCAGTAAATTACGCACCCTACACCAATCCATCATTAATTCTACGGAATTACTAAATGTTTTCAAAACAATAGAACAAAACGCACAAACCATTTACCCAGTAATAAAAAATAACTTATTAAAATTAGAACGTAACATTATCCTAAAATATTATATAGACAAAGACAAATTAGTTTTTATCTTAGAAATACCATTAATAGAAAAAGAAACGTATAACTACTACATGATTATTCCTATCCCTATAAAGAAATTGACCAACACCTATACCATAATTCCTAAATACCCCTACCTATTAGTGAATGGTTTGAAATACAGAAACGTAGTAAGCCCGTGTACCCAAATAGAACCAAACAAACACCTATGTTCGGAGGAAAATATGGCTCCAGTTGATGAAGAAACATGTATCGAGGAAATAATGCTGATTAAAAATAACTTCAGTAATTGCCATCAACATCAAATAAAAATAGAGAAGTTGAAAATACGGAAAATAACTTTTGACCACTGGATACTCTATGCAGAAAATGATGTTATACTGACGGAGCAGTGCAAAGATGATACCCACAGATTTAATCTACAAGGAACATACATTTTGACGCCGAGCATAGGTTGCAGCATACAAATGGGGAAAATAACCATTGGCCTATCGAGCAACATGTCGGAAGCCAGTCTACATATACCACTTGTGAAGATTCCGGAGGTGCATTACGACGTGACGAAAGAAGAAAAGAAATTGGACTTAACAAACGTAGATTTCAGTGACGTAAAAGAAATTATGAATAGTGCTAGAAATAGTAATAGTGAAATGTTGGTGGAAACCCTAGTGACGAACAAAATAAGTATATGGACTTTAAGTCTTTATGTTGTGGCACTGTTAATTATAATTGTTATGGTATTTAAATATCGGGTAACGGAGCGAGGAGAGCTTTCCAGAAAATGACATCATTAATCCTTCAACCGACAGCGCCATCTAGTCTCGGAACGAAGAACTAAGCTTCTAGAAGTCGGCACTCGAACTCTCGGCCCCTTGCGCGTGTTTACTTGAATATTCTGGATGTTTCGGTGCTAATTTGCATTTATAGGCGCTGCAAGATGCGATCGGGGGAAGTATTGAATTTGGCGAGACAAGCGAAGCTTCGGAGCGAAATAAAGTGAATCAGTGTAATTAATTTTGTGTCTTAAGTTTTAATTGGTGTAAAGAAAATTAAAGTGTTAATTTAGGTAATTCTATGGACAAATTTTTATTATCACGAACCTCAAGCTCGTAACAATAAATAGCGCTTATAAGTTGTTTTTTTTTTATTGAATAAGGGTGACAAACGAGCACACAGTCCACCTGATGGTAAGTAGATGCGGTGGCCCAAAGATATCTACATTTATCCACAATTAAGAATCAAAATTCAGGTGCTTTATCTTATCACCCCTGAAGGTTAAGATATAATGCCTCGTTTCCAGTTCCAAGGGTCTCTGGTTCTCTATACTCACCGTACGAAACACAGCAGTATTGAGTTGCAATTTTGCGTTGGTATTCATACATTGGTTGTTTTATGGAAAGTATTATATCATGACTACACTGTTCTTTTCCTCGAATACCGTGATATTATAGAAAATATCGTATTCTCGACCGGACTTAAACATGGCAATATTGATCGGCAATTTACGGAAAGTACCTTCCTACACAAACACAAAGTAGCTCTATGGTACGACTCCGTGAGATAAGTCAATTCAAAGTAGCAAAGTGCAATGTTGTTTATCAATGACGTCTTAATTTTTCCATTCCCATTTTCCATCTAATTATTTATCGTTGAGATTTCAATAGCTCAGCATCAAATCACATCAGTTTTTATGTTGTTGGATTAATTTATAATTTTTCTATAATAATTTAAACATTGTGTTAGTTACTGTTCCTGTTCTGCACAGATTGCATAAGTAAGTAACTATTATTCTGTGAGCCTTTAAAGAATTTGTGTAACATGAATTTATGATTTATATATTTTTATAGAATTTATTATATATTATGGAAACTAATAATACGTTTTTTAATAATATGCGAACTTCTTTGGACTTCGAAGTGGTTGAATCTGATAATTCATCTTTTTCTGAAAATTCAACTCAAAATGTTGAAGGGAAATTATCTCCTGTACAAATTCAGCAAGAATACTTTGAAAATTTACAGGACTGTGATTGGATTAAGTACGTATCTATTTTTTTACACTTAATTGTAACTCATAATTATGTCCATTAACCTGGGTTTTTATAGTAATCGCCAAATTGCAAAATACGAAGTGATCATCAGAATGCATTAGGTTGTGGATTGCCTTATTATTTTATTTTTTGTTAAATAGCTATTAATCAATGACTTTATTTTGTCTGAGCTATCAATGATTATCCAGAAGATCCTCCAGGCACTTTCAGTATGCCTCAAATGTGCATCGTAATAATTATAATTTAAAACTAATTTAGAAAACATGGTTATAACAAAACACGGAATAAACTTATTAGAAAAATGTATGATTTCCAGCATTTAAAAATTACATTGATAAAATCTAGTACAATACACATCACGAATTGGCACAGCATCACTATGATATAGCTAAGTAAAGTTTTCTTTATTAGCCTCTAAAAGTCTACTGCTAGATTAGGCCTCTTCTGTTATAGGAAAGCTTTGCCATATTGGTTGTGCTTGGCAGAAAGATTGACAACTGCACTACCAGAGGTCTATTAAATAAAATACTGGCTTCTGTTGTTGGTCTGGGTATTTTACATCTGATGAAAACCAACATGGTATGTAACATCATCTATACGAAGCCATAAGATTATTCTAGCATTTCACATTTTTTATTTTATTATTTTATTTTATTGATTTATGCCTCTTGTTTTAACTGAAGGTTTTAATATATTCACATAATCATTTCTCATATTATAGCCTTTTTTATATTCTTGTATTTTTATACCTTGATCAATTATTACAGATATGAAAAAAGCAATAGGCTTCACTTATTACAAAATATAGCTTTTGCATTATTTGGAGGTCCTAGTCTAGAAGGAGATTTGTCACATAGTAGGAATTATCAAGAAGTTCATCTAGAAGGCTACACATCGAGACAGAGGGAACAAGTTATTAAAATATATGATAAGTTATGTGAACAAAGTATGTATAAACATTTGACTATTTTTTAAGTGCATATTAACATTCGATCCTTGAGATATTTTACTGTTCTCAAGAGGTAACAGCTTAAAAATGTTACAATGTTGGGCATATATTTCCCATATTAATGAAAGTATAAGATCTCTTCGCTTGGGGAAGGCCTATGTTCAGCAGTGAACTTATGAAAGACTGTAATGACGATGATGATGTTCTCTGCTCATTATCCTGCTCTGGTTTTATTTTATCTAGGTTATCAGGTTTGAAGCTAGTTTGTTAAGGCGATCAAAAAATGAAAGCATGCCTTCAAATAGAGCTGAAGTCACCTGGTCAATATGAAGAAGAAGCTCGATAAAAATGCAGATTTAAGAAAAGAGTACGAGAAGCAGATTGATAATTTCATTGTTAATGGTTACTCAGAATAGGTGTCCTATATTTCCTTTTTTCCACCAATGTGGTATCCTCCTCACTTTACAGCAACAAAAGAAAAAAAAAAACAAATTGTTTGATGCAGCCGCCAGGGCGGACTGCGGCTCTAGGTTAAGCAGATTTCCTCTATTTTTTTCCTTTTTCTTCTGTTGATATGTGCCTCATTGTAGTATAGAGGATTTGCATAATTTGTTAGCCTTGGCAGAAAGATGATTATACTTATTGCATCAGGATTTTCATAATTAATTAATTAGAGATATAATTAGTTACAAGTAAAATTAATATAAAGCCATCCATAGCTCTGTAACATATGATGACCGAGTAGTTGTTGGATAGATGCTAACATTCATTCACTTTAAAAATGCACCAGAGTATGAATGTGATTGTGGTGTGCATATACACTGACTCATTGACCTAGACTACATCCAATATGATATCAAACCTAGGTGAAAAGATAGTGCATACTTATGTAAAGATTTTTTTTTATATTATAGTATTTTAATTGTTTAACACTCAATTTCATGTTGAGGAATTGAAAAAAATATTTATTTCCAAATGCAACAAAAAAAAACATACAATTTAACTCCAACACTAAAACATTCTTGGCTCGTGGGTATTGACAACAAAGCTTATCAGTAAGTCAGGTTGTAGTAGATTGGTCCATAAGTAGGTAAGGCAATGCATGTGTTAGTATCCAGTTATTAAATAGTACCAGTACCTTACAGAGGTTGCTTTACCTAATTGGATACACAAACAAGCAGTAATTGGATTTAGTAGACCTGTAGGGGAGCATGTACTACATTGATGTATTGTGGTTTTGATACTTACAATGGATATTTTATAATCATGACCTGAATATTAATATTATTAATTGTTGCAGGTAAATATTCCCAAAACAATGAAGACATTGTCATGTCAGTTTTATTAGTTGTTTGTGCAAAACCAAACCCTTTAAAATACTATCAAATTCAACCAAGAAACTATTGGCTAGATCTACATCAGAGAAATGATATTATTATTTGGTGTACAGCAGTTTTTCGTGTTAGAAAATGTATACCTACTACTGTTGATGGTATGTATATTTATGAAGTATCCTACTAACTAAATTTATATTTAAAAACTGGCTGGCCCCGGCAGACAACTGACTTACTGTGTAACTATAGAATTTTATTAAAACCTCAAACAAAGAAGTACACAGTCCACCTGATTGTAAGTGGATGCTGTAGCCCATAAACATCTACATTTATCCTCAATTAAGGATCAAAATGCAGATGCCTCGTCACCCACAAGGTCAAAGATTCCAGTGAAAAGGTCTTCGGTTCTCAACACTCACCACAATGTCATTTTAGTTCAAAAATATAGAATTTATCAATAAATAACTACAGCATCACCTATCAGATTGATTCATCGCTATGAACATAAGTCTCAATAATACTAATGTTTTGCGTGAATATGACCTCAATCGGTCATGTTGTTTCAAAGTTACACAGTCACTAAAAGATGCACCAACAATTGGAGATTTAAACTGCGGGCTTTGCTAGGAGAAATAGAGAGAGGAGTTGACCTCTTCCAAAGAAGGTCAACCACATGGTGTTCGTGAATTGTGGGATGGTATTTACCATGACCCTGCCAAAACATGACCAACAAATTTTTAATTATAAATATATTTACTTGGTAGTAGGACTGATTTTTCTTGGTCTCAGTTTTATTCAATGTGTAGTATTTGCGTAAATATAAGAAATCATTAAAAAATAAAAGTTTATATTGAGTGGCCTTCTCTAGCCATGCTTATGTATCTTTTCTGCCTTCTCTGTCTGTATGTGTAAGTAACACCATTTTACCTCTTTCTGTCACAAAACAGCAGTAGTTTCTCTGCTGTGTTCTGGTTTACGGGGTATACAGAGCCAATATAATTACAGATTATGAGGAATATCCATCATTAGTCTTCAAAGATGACAACACATCTTTACTCTTCCTATATTTGAAGTTGTTTGCTGGTGTCCATGAGCCGCAGTAGCCACTTACAGTCATTGTACATATGGTGTGTCACATACGGGGGACTGAGATGACTGAGGACCCAATGCCATTGTTAAACTCGGAGTACCTTCGGCGTTTTTAATTTTTGTTTATAGTCCGATCTATGCAAAGTGAACTGACTGTGTCTTGAAGTGGTATGCTTGGGTTTAGTTTTAATTTTATTAATTATGGGATCCCAAGCAGGTGGTAGTACCCAGCCTCCTTCTCTATTGAAATTAGGATGTTTTTTAATTTCAATAGCCTCACGTATCATCCTTGGTAGGAATCGATGTTCTTTCGCGAGAATTTGTGGTCTATCAAATCTGATGTAATGGTTGGGGCCATCTAGAATATGATCGCAAACTGCAGACTTCCCGGAATGTTGATGCTTCACATCAGCTATATAAATATGTTCTTTTACATGGGTTCTAATTGATCTTTTTGTTTGCCCTATATAAGAGAGACCACATTCACAATCAAGCTTGTGGAGTGAAAGAATGCAGGAGTGTGCATTTTGTAGAGATGGTAAGAACTGACTAATCTTCGGCGGCTTGTAGAATGTTCTAATAGAAGCTCGCTTCGAGATGTAGCCAATCTTGTCGTGACACCTCTGATATATGGTAGTACAGCAGGCACATGCTCGACTGTGGCTAGCTTCACTTGGTCACTGTGAGGTAGGCGCGGTACCCTAAGCTTGTTGTCGTGCAGAACCTGCTTGACGTGCTGAAGCTCGGCGGCCAGGTGTTTGCTGTCATAGATCCCTTGTGCTCTCTGTAACAAAGATTTGCCCATGGTGGCTCAAAGCTAAGCGAAGCCGGTCTTCTCGCAGCCGGAATGTGGTCCCAATCGCCCTAGAATAAAATATGCTGCTAATTATAATTATGTTTTTACTTTCCCATACCACATGATAAATTATTACATACATTTATCTATCAGTTCTCCAACATTTATAATAAATTATTTCAGCCAAGTCATGTAAATTATACATTGACGATAATGCAAGAGTATATCAAAACTGGGATTCATATTTGGCTAATAATACACTACCAAAGTGTGTCATCATAGTTCCAGAGAATGGAGAATACAGAGGTACCTTTATGGAGGTAAGATTTAATCTTCATATGAATTTTAAATTAAAGACGCCTTTAAAATTATTTTAATGTATAATTTAATTATTTTATATTCATTATCATCATTACAGCCCTTCACAAGTCAACTGCTAAACATAGGCCTTCCTCCAAGGTACACCTCAAAGCATGGTCCCGAACCAGTTACATCCATTGACTTCCTGCATCTCTTACCAGGTCGTCACTCCATCAAGTCCATCGAGTTATATGGCCGGCCCATTGCCACTTCAGCTTACGAATCTGTTGAGCTATATTAATTACTCTGGTTCTACTGTGGATATCCTCGTTTTTAAGTCTATCACGCAGAGAAACTCGGAGCGTAGCCCTTTCCACAGTTTGCTGAGCAACTGAGCTTCCTCATACGACCAGCAGTGAAGGACCACATCTCAGATTCATAGGTCATCATTGTCAACGTGCACTGGTTGTACAATCTAGTTTTGAGGTATAGAAAATGTGTCGTAATCTCCCGAACATTGCCAACTGAGTTGAGTCCATCGTTTGACCTCTCGGTCGAAGTTGGACTTGTCTAGTTGGACTATTTGTTCCAGGTAAACATCCTCATCAACAACTTCGAGCTTAATGCTTCCGACAACTATTGGCCTTTTCTCCATGTGTTTTAAATTAAATTAAATATATTATTTATTTAATAGTTGTAATTTAAGTATTTTTAATCATAATTTTCATTTAAGGAAAGTCATTTGTAGGTAGGATGATCATTGAACGAAAACTAAAAGATATACTACGTTCCGATTTCCGGTTTAAATTTGATGATGTATGGTTAAGTATGTAAGCTGAGACTGGGATATAAATCATTTTTTGCAATAAGAAATTTTCTTTAACCATAGTTTAAACCCAAGGCTATAAATAAATCATCTATTAAATGAGTATAAAATAACCAAATAAAAATTAATAATAAAATATTATGTTTATAAAACTTATATTTATTATATTTATAATAATTACGAGAGTATTGTTATAATAATGTTTGAAGATAAAAAAAATGTGTTTCAGGCTGAAAAAGCATTTGCTGTTAAATTAACTGTAGCTCCATCACCTTCTTTGGGTCTTAAGGCCAGAGTACTAAGTTCGGTTGATACGGCAAGCACAGTTGCTTCTTTAGGAGCTGTGGGAGTACTTGGTGTTGCCGCATTTACACCCGTTGGACCAGCCGTTCTTATTGGTGCTACTGTTGCAACTGTCGCAACAGGAGTATATGGCCTTGTCCGTTCATCTATACATCTTCACGATAGAAGGATTCACATGCAGGTAATTCATAATATTTTGGTAATAAACATGATGATTTATTTATTTATTTATTTATTCTCAATTGTTGAAACTTGAAACTTAAATACAGAATGCGAGTTGACACAGAATAGTGCAATTTGGATTCCAAATCACAGGTGGTTAAAAATTCAAATATTTTGATAAAATGTCCGGTCTTTAGCCGACATCTGGGCAATAAAATAATAGATTGTAATAACGCATTATTTACAAATTACATATAGGTACATTAATTTCCCCTTATATTTATTGGTCAAAAATGGCAAAAAGTTGGTTTCTCCACAAATTTTCTTATCAAATTCTTCAAATGTGTTTGAAGTCTTATTTCACTTATTTTGCTCGCGTACCTTGCTGCACCTTTTGAAGCTTCAGCTATATTTGACCTACAAGTATAGCTGGAGCTTCATAAGAACGGGGTTTAATCTCATGTTGAAATTGTTTTATTTTTATTTAAAGTCTAATTTTCTTAATCTTTAAAAGGCAATAATGGAATATTGAATTAATGGTTAACGACATAGAGAAGAGCCTTTGTATTTATGTATACTATTCCTCAATGAGTACAAAAGCAAGGTCATTGTTAAGCTAAGCACACTTTACTATCTTCAGCTACATCACAACTTGCCATCAGATTAGACAGTAGCAGAGCACTGATTTATAATAGTCATAAAATGCAATGAACAATTTTAGTAGTGATGACACTGGATATCATAGGTTACTTCCGAATTCACAAAACCGCCTGAAATTAGGAGGCCAATTCTCTGATATTTCTACGGAAAAGTAATAAAAGTTAATACATAATTATTTAAAATGTTTTGTTATGCATTTGTTGTATAAAACAGCTATTCATAAATTGTCTTAAATATTTGTTTAAAGATAATAATATAAGTAATTATCTATAGTCAGATGGCTGACAAATGCTCCTTTGTGATAACTAAAAATAACCGGACACTAAAATGTTGAAAATGGTGACAAGATGCACTTCCATGTCACTGTTTTTACTTTATCCGTTAAAAATGAATACAAAAAATAGTTCAATCAGGCTTGAGCTACTGTATATTATAATGTAATCGGAATCTGATACTATTATGTAAACACAGGTCATTCCTAAATGTGTGGTAGCGAAAGTTGGATGTGACAGAATCATGAAAGCAAAACTAATCTTGGAGAAATGCGGTCATTAAGAAATATGTTAGAGTTGATACTGAATGATAGGTTGGGAAATTGTAAAAAAAGAGAAAAGTGTTGTTTGCAAGATGCCGTGACTAGGAATTAAGAGGAATGCTTCGGTGGTTTGGACACATAGAAAGGATGAATGAGGAAAGAGTGACAAAGCAAATTTATGTTGCAGAGGTAAGTGACAGAGTTGGGAAAGTATGCTCTAGACGGAAGTTTAACCTCAGCCTCAACCAACGAGCATATATGGTATATGGATGTGAAAGAAGCGAGAGAGGTGTGTCATGATGGTGCCAAATGGGAGTCCATAGTCCCTGCCCTCTGCGTAACAAGCGTGAGAGTTTATATTTAATCAGATGGAAGGATGAGTAGTCGATCACTGGTTAGTGGTTACTAATTCCTAAAAAAATACTTCAATATGTAGAACCCGTACGTAGGGCGTTAACATTTTGCACTTGTAAGCCATTGACTATTTTTATACAGCTCGCTGGCTGGATTAAATTCCAAATAATTTCGCATGCAAAACGTTTTTGTTGAGTTTGTTCATTATGAACTAAACATGATAATACCTAAGCATTTTTGACTTTCAGAGTATTAGCCCAACGGATGCGGAAGCGCGCGGAAGTTGGCTTAATATCGCGGCTTCGAGCGTTGGACTTGCAGCTGGTGCTGCAAGCACTTTGCTCTCACGAACTGCTGCCGCCGGCAGTAATTTAACCAAGGTAAGTTGACTGTTCATCTGCATTATGGTTTTAAGCCTAGAGTGCACCTGATACGCATGCAAGACCAGCAAGTTACATGGTGTTTTAATGCTTTTTCGTACATTAATAGGATCATGTTGTGCAGAAAATTATCCAACCAACGAAAACAATAAAGCTATTTAGATTTGGAAGATAAATGGATTTTAATCGACCTAAAAAAGGAGGAGGTACTCAATTCGACTGTATGTTTTTTTATGTGTGTTACTTCAGAACTTTTTTCTAGGTGAACCAATTTTAATTATTCTCTTTTTATTTGAAAACTGCTGCTTCTCGTATGTTTCCATACAAATTTGATCAAGATCTGACCAATAGTTTTTGAATTATCCTTAACACATTCTCTGCCGTCGGTCACGTTTTAAATGCAATACTCCGTACAAAGTGACCGACACGGCAGTCAAAGGCTTAATAATGCGTATTTAATTGACTTCGACTACATTGATGATGTTCTCATTTTATTTATATTGAAATCCGTTGTACAAAATTTTTAATTTTATTGCTTATTCACTGTTTCATCATTGTTCTGGCCAGTTTGTGTTTAGATTTTGGTGTTAGATCATTTCTGCACAACAAGGCACAATTAATGTAGACAGTGTTTGTTGATTTGACAAAAAATTTATTATTTACTAGCTGGTACCTGGCGTGTTGCTGCCGCAGATGAAATAATTGTAAAAATATGATTTTAAATTTGTAAAAGTTATATTGTAGGAACAATGATACACTTATTGAAATTGAATGATATAACTTTCAAATAAATTAGTCGGTACGATACGCGCGCCACCAGTTGTAAGTTATTTGTACTATGCCTATAACCTCCACACCGGTGCAAAAATTAAGTTGACAGTTTTACCGTAATCTGATTAATGGTATGGCTTTTTTTATAGGATAGGGCGACAAACGAGCACACAGTCCATCTGATTATATGTGGTTGCTGTGGCCCATAGACATCTACATCTATCCTCGATTACGAATCAAAATGCAGATGCGTTGTCACCTGTGAGGACTAAGTTGGAATGCCTTGTTTCCAGTAAAATGAGTCTCTGGTTCTCTACACTCACCATACGAAACACTGCAGCATTAAGTTACTATTTCACGCTGGTATTCTGTGAAAGCGTAGTGCTTCCCGAGAAGACGAGCCGACCCATTCGTGCTACAACTATACTACTAATATAACGCAGCATGGCTCTATCACATTGAAAAAATACGAACTGCTTCTGCGCATAAAATACGAACAAACAGATATTATTTTTTATATATTAGATTTTAAAACCTGTTTTTGACATTATACACATAATACATAATCATTAATCGTTCTCTATTGCTGATGTCGGACATATAGCTTCGAAAAACCTAGAGCATGGGGAAGAATGGTTCTTGAGAAACCTTGTATCAGTAAGGTCGTGTTAGAGAGCACAATGATAGACGACCTAGTAGGATATAGGCAGCCTATATTCAGCAGTTGACAAGTTCTGAACGTACAATCTTAATAGATTGCAATATAGCAGTGTCTTGAACCAAATCTGCATCTATGGACTGACAACTTATTACAGTTGTCATTTAAAGCTATGTGGCTGTCTTGTTATAATCAAATACTTTGTGGGGCCATAAGTTCTGTTACACATGAAAATGCATATTAGTTTACAGCTATAGGATAATAATAATAAAACTTTGTAAACATACATTATTAAAGTACTAGAGATTAATTAAAAACAAGTTTTATTTAAAGTGGCCTCCTTTGGCTTTGATAATCGCTTTTAATGTATTGTACCACGCATCTATGTATACTTGTAATATCACCATAGAGAAAATAGCAACTGCCAGCTCTAAAAATTTCTTGAAAGACTCAATGTCCGAGGAATGCTTTTAGCTTGCCATGTGAAAGAAAAAGTTCCGAATTTAACTGTTCTTGTTTTTATTTTCTAAATAACAAGTAATTAAGCAAGCGCACGTCTACATGGGTTTGTTCTAAATTTCTAGTTATTATAAAAATGTAAAATCATATACATCTAATAAAACAGTCTTTTATCGTGTACTATGGATTATTTTATTTATGACAACAATTGGACTTGATAATATAAATAAATTGAAACATTTCTTCCAGACTGGGCAAGCCTTGACACTATCCGTAGAAGTTCTTCGTCATGCAAACATATTTACTAGCGGGGCTGGATTCATTAACAGTCTTGTGCATATTATTGTAAAGGTACAGAACAACCTTTTGAGATTTATTTAAGTACATACAAGTGATATTATATATGACTTAGTTATTAAAGAACCTAGTGTTAAATACAAATGCTATTGAAACGGCTCAGAGTAGTGATTTGTCATTTGGTTTCGAGGCCGCGGGTTTTAATATCGTTCGATACAATCATATGTGCAGCCTACAAATTAACTTTCCAAGTCTGGATGTTTTACCATGTATGTTTAACGCCTGGGTAATACAGGAGAAAATCCTAGTATGGAGAGGTGAATGAGGGGAGGGGGATTTTATAAAGCAGAAAAAACTTACCAATTTTTTTTATAGGATAGGGTGACAAACGAGCACACAGTCCACCTGATGGTAAGTGGTTGTTGCGGCCCATAGACATCTACATGTATCCTCGATTACAAAACAAAATGTAGATGCATTGTCACTCGTGAGGACTAAGATGGAATGCATCGTTTCTAGTAAAAAGGGTCTCCGGTTCTCTACACTCACCATACGAAATACAGCAGCATTAAGCTACTATTTCACGCTGGTATTCTGTGAGTATGTGTTCCTTCCCCTGTCGAGCAGACCCATTCGTGCTACAACTATACTACTAATATAACTGCAGCATGGCTCTACCATGTAAACTTGATTTTAATTTCTTTTAAATCCAGTTCGGCTAAAATAAAATGTAGTGCATCAACATAAAATGTCAAAGTTAAATAAAATATTACTGTTTATTTTGTAGCCTAGTTGTGTGTCTTTTAATAATCAATGTAAAAATCATATGTACGCAGTATCGCAAACATGGAGAGACACCAACGAAACTCGAACTTTTCCAATTCTCGGCTGCCACCTTGTTCTTTTTCCACGCCGCAATATCTAACCGAACTGCGCAGAATATCATTGAGGATGCTCAAGCTAACACTATTAATGAATACAGAGCTTCGCTTAGAAGTAACAATCACAGGTGAGAATATTAAATTATTATTTTAATGATTTTTTTATTTGCTTTCTGTAGTTAGAGCCGTGGTAGCTCAGATGATTAACGCTCGCTGTAAAACATCGTGAGGAAACTTGCATGTCTGACGAATAAGAAAATAAAATATTTCGAAGACATGTGAAGTTCGCCAACACGCATTGGGGCTGCGCGGCGGACACATCCTTGCCCTAAAACCCTCTCAGTCAAATGAGGGGGGATGTATATAGGCTGTAGCTTTACTTTAGTTTAACTTTTATCTATAGTTGTTCAACTGAATTGTATGTTGGCCGATACGGGGCGGCAGTAACTCTAGCCAATTACTACATGTCAGCATGTTGTTAATTGCATTATGTTATAGTGACGTCACAATTGAACAATATTGCCCAGGACTGAGCAATTTGAGTTGCCTGTGTAACTGCACCATAAGTATTTTTTTATTTCATAGGATAAGGGTGACAAACGAGCCACACAGTTCACCTGATAGTAAATGGATGCTGTGGCCCATAGACATCTACAACAATACTCGATTGAGAATCAAAATCCAGATGTATTGTCACCTCTCGGGACTAACATGGAATGCCTCATTTCCAGTATAAAGGCTCTCTGATTCTCATCACTCACCATATGAAACACAGCAGCATTAACCTGCATTTTACGCTGGTATTCTGTGAGAGCTTTGTCTTTCCCCGATCGAGCCGACCCATTCGTACTATTAAAATAATATAGTTTCAGCATGGAGATATTTATTTGGCCATTTCTTAACAAATTAGCACTAACTACCCAAAATAAAACATTAGGTGTAGGTAATTTTATAACTAGACTTAATTATACACTTAAAAAAAATCGTTTTGAATGCGTTTGTGACAAAGCAGATAGGTACAAAATACATATAAAAAGCGAATAGCTTCCTAAAAATTTTTTTTTTATGGGACATGGTCCGAATAGGGCTGCCACTCAGTAAATGCTAAGATGTGACATCCTAGCCCTGATTTTCAGTGGCAATCTCTAATGTACTTATTACATACATATACACACAATATATATATATATATATATATATATATATATATATATATATATATATATATATATATATATACATCCCATAACTTATTGTACGTCCACTATGGCCAATTTTACATATAATGTGGCGTCAACCTGCTTACGACGTCCAATATACGGACGTCAAATAGGAGACCTAGCGCAATGTTCGCAAATTGTCATGCTGATCACAGAAATGTCAAAATATAAAAAAAAATTGGACGTCATTTTTCTTCCAATCTTGCTGTACTGAATATTTACGTAGTTCCGCTAATTTTCGTTGCAAAAATAATAGCGCTGCTGCCGATTTGTGAATACTTTCATTTATGGCCGTATTTGACATCCGCACAAAATTAGGAGATGCGACGTTGCCGTTCCGTCACCGTTGCCAACGTGTTACTTGTATTTAGTGATATAAGGTTATGACTGCCTCGTCGGTCTAGTGGTTGTAGTAGTGCGACTGCTGAATGTGAGGTCCTGGGTTCGAATCCCGGGTCGGGCCAAAAAATCAGTTATTGAGTTTTTCTGTCAAGAAATTCTCAATAGCTGCCCGGAGTCAGGAAGTTGGCGGTGTATTCGCCCCGTGCCTCGGAAAGCACGTAAAGCCGTTGGTCCTGCGCCTGATCTCTCACCGGTCGTGTCGGTTTACCGTCCCATCGGATTATGAGAATGAGGGAATAGAGAGTGCACCTGCGGTTGCGCATACACTTGGGCACTATAATCCTGTCCTGCGCCGATGGCTAGTCTCTATTGATGCAGGCCGCTGTGACCGTAATTCGGTCTGCAGGACATTTTTATATGGTTTATACTGCGCTTGATACCAGTAATTTTACTTTCAAACTTGTTTTCTTAACCTTACATTTATCTACATATAATAAGGACTTCCGAATATCCTAAAACTTTCATACTGAATGATATTTGACACCCGTATTTTTGAATTTAGTTATATTTTTATAAATGTAGATGCGCACGTCAGCTTATCGGTTTATTTCATGCTGCACTATATTTTAACGTTTTACATTTGGTACTAATCTGCCTAAAAGAACTCTTGTTAGGTATTTCGTAAGCAACCCATAATTCTGTTTGAGTATAAGTCTGATTGAGTACAGGAAGATGGGCTCAATTGTAGATATTGACAGGTTTCATAGAAGTTTGTTTTATTATATTGTGACTAATAACCTTCTGACTAATAACCTAATATGGTCTGGCGAAGAAACTCATTTTAATATAAGGTTTTATTGCATTAACTGCCAATTGGTTGTTAATTTCTACAATAGACCGTGGCATATTGTTGCAGACATCCGACACTCCGAAAATATAATTTATTTACTTGATCTTGTTGAGTTTTGGAGCTCTCACTGCATCTTAAGGATAAGTGCGACTATTGTACCTAATCTGTACGAAATTACTCTCTACTTAACTAGATTCATTTTTGTGAAAGGCTGTTTTTGTTAAACTATGATAATATGTTTGGTTTTGCAGTTAGTTGAAATAAAATTTAATTTTTCACACACGTTTTCTAAGCTTCTAAGCATTTTGTCATTTCTAGAACGAAACATTTTATAAAACACCAAAATGACTATTTTATACCGCATGGCCTCCCTACACTAAAATACGAATAAAACAGTAGCGAAAAATGTCATTAAAGCAATGATCATTAATGTGTGTCTAATAAACAAGGAATTAATAAATATAAATATATTCAAGGTTATATGGACGTCAAATATCGTGCGGTATTAACCCGGGGGCACTCGCTACTGGGTAAAAAATACCACAGAATACTTAAATTCTAAGCTAACTTTTTTTTTAAAGCGCTCGAGCAGATCGCAATTCTAGGTACCTTCAAGCTGAAACATATTCCATGCGCGGGTCACGGGGCAGCCAGTTTGCGCGCGGTGTTTAGCGAAAATGGACGTATAAAGTGCGTAAGGGTAAAAATTACCCAGTAGCGACTGTTTTCGTTATATTATTTTTCGATTTGCTAATAAACATTTTTCAAAGCAAGCAAACAAGAGCTTTTTCACGGTGTCTTGTCCACTAAAGGAGAATAAAATAGCACAATTGCTAGAAGAGGAAGACGATGAAGAAGAAATTGTGTCAGAAAAAGAAGATTTCGAAGAACAGAGTGAGCATGAAAGTGAAACGGAGCAGGAAACAAGTGATTCAGACACCCTCAGATTCAGAAGAAAATTTCCACCCTCATTGGCCATTAGAATTAGATCAACAGACTGAAAATGAAGGGATTTATAAAGAATATTTGGAAGATGTGCCATTGAAGTATCGTAGACTAGGGAAATTTATCGGAAAAGACAAAAGATCTGAGTGGCGAGTCCGTGAGCCACTACGTCGTGTGCGAACGAGATCTCATAATATTATTCTACACTTCCCTGGTCCCATTGGTGAAGGAAAACGTTGCTCGTCTATGTTAGAAGCCTGGGATCTTATTTTTCCAGAGTCTTTCCTACAAAAAATAATCCACTATACAAACATGTATATTTAAAATTTGAAATCTAACTACTCAAGATAATGTGACTGTAAGCAAACGGATATAATTGAAATAAGAGCTCTTTTTGGATTACTTTATTTGTGTGGACGACTGCGAAGTGGTCATCTAAACACAAAAGATCTCTGGTAAAAGTATGGAAGTGGTAGCGATATATGTATTGCCGCTATATCACGCGAAAGATTTCATTTTTTACTAAGAAGTTTACGTTTTGACGATATTCATACAAGAACTGAAAGAAGGCAGACAGATAAGCTGGCGGCTATAAGAGAGGTTTTTCAAGAGATCAACGATAACATAAAAAAATACTATGTTGTGGGCGAAAACGTGAAAATTGGCGAAAATCTGGAGAAAACTCGTGGTAAATATATACCGAGTAAGCCTGGGAAATACGGTATAAAAATTTTTGTGATGGCTGCCGCGCGAGGCTTCAATACAAATAATTTAGAAGTTTATGTTGGAAAAAAAAATGAAGGGCCATACGATCACAGTAATTCACCAAGCAATGTCGTCAAACGTTTGGTAGAACCTATAAAAAACAGCCATAGGAATATCGTGATGGACAACTGGTTCAGCAGCTTCCCGTTGTTGCGTGATTTATATAACGATTATGGGTTGACAGCGCTCGGAACGTTGAGAGGGAATAAGGCTGAAATTCCGCCAGTCTTTACAAATACTCCGGGTCGGGAAGTTCACACCTCAATTTTTGGGTTTCTTGTGTTTTTGGGTTTGGTTGGCTGTACTGTGGTGTCTTACGTCCCAAAGAAAGAAAAAGTAGTTTGGCATCGACCATGACGCCAAAAAAGATCCAGGAGAAGAAAGAAAGCCCGAAATGATAATAGATTACAACGCGAACAAAATAAATGTGGTGTCGATGTTGTGGATGAGATGTGTGCTACCTACTCAGATGCACCGACAACTAAAAGATGGCCGTTAGTAGTTTTTTATGGGCTTTTGAACATCGGCGGCATTACTGCGTACGTTATTGTAAAAGCAAATAAAGAAAATAATGGAACTGTGATGGCTAAGAGAAGAATCACCCTGAAAGACCTAGCTTTGGGACTTGTGATGCCACAAATAAAAAGGAGGACCACAGTTCATTTATCACCATATATAAAATCAAAAATAAAGTTTATCCTTAGTGCCAACTTAAATGAAGAATCCCCATTCAAGAGATTAGCCGATTCGCGACCCTCCACAGCTTTTACTTCAGCATCTCGCTTTGCAGTATGTGTATGGAAAAAGGACCGGAGAACGAAGACAATCTGTGAATTGTTTTGCAAAGAGCATACGACTCCAATCTGTGGGGAGTGTTTTGATAGAGTAATTTTGATTGGCGTTGACATTTTGAAGCAAGCTATTTGATGATGATTTTCTCAAACTTCGCTTATTATAAAAGTATAGGTAATTATTTTGTATTCATTTTGTAAGGCGGTATGTCTATTTTAAATATAGATCTCAATTTTGCATGATTCTTAAGAAAAAAGTATTTTTTGTTGTTTTTGTTAAGAATACAAAGAATTATTAAAGTTTTTGTTATTAATTAATAATTAGGCCTCGTTTAAAATAAAAGATGACTACAACTTGCATTTGTAGTTTTATTCATAGAACATAGTGTAAATAAAGTTAATACGTAGTCAAAATTTAAAATGTTACGAATTCCTTTAAATTATGTCAAACTAATTCTTTGGTATTTTTCACCCAGTAGCGAGTGTTCGTGTCAGTAATTACCTAGCGAGTACCGCCGGGTTAAACTTTACCGATAATCTGACGTCCACATATAGAAATATAACAAAATTCAAAAATATGGACGTCAAATATCATTCAGTATGAATGTTTTAGGATATTAGGCCGTCCATATTATTATGTGTACACAGGTAGTAATTTAAAGTTAAAATTAAGCACACAGTGCCCCAAAAACCGCTACAAACTGCAACATTTATCAAAAAAGAAATAAGAAAGGTTTTCTAAGTGTTTTATCGTTTTTAGAATGGAGCATTTTATGAAACACCAAAGTGACTATTTCATACCGCATGGGCTCCCCACACTAAAATAAAAATAAAACAATAGCGAAAAATGTCATTAAAGTAATGACCATTAATGTGTGTCTTATACACAAGAAATTAAAATATAAATATATTCATGGTTATATGGACGTCAAATATCGTGCGGTATGAAACTTTACCGATAATCTGACGTCCACATATAGAAATATAACAAAATTCAAAAATATGGACGTCAAATATCATTCAGTATGAATGTTTTAAGATATTCGCACGTCCATATTATTATATGTAGCTAAATTTAAGGACACGAAAACAAATTGGAAAGTAAAATTATCTATTAGCACTGAGTACAGTATACACCGACAAAAAATACCAAAATATGCCTTGAGCACTAATAAATAATTAAAATAAATAAATAGTAAAATGCAATAATCAACAATAACTTTGGACATTGGATACGAAGAAGTGGACATCAAATAAAACTTAGTGTGAATATTTTAGGATATTCTTACGTACGTATATGGGTAAATACTCCGTTCAATGCCAATGTCAAGTACATTAATCAACTTACACAAGTTTATTTACCCAAGTTACTAAATATAACCAAAGAAACTTAAATGCAAGCAAGCATAAGCGTGGAAAGTTCTCAATGTGCGTAGGTCACAATACGGACGCCAATTAGAGCACAATATGCATGTTTTTAGTAATATAGCGTCCAATATTTACAACAACAAACACAAACAAATTGTATTTCAATTAACTGCAAAACCAAACATAATATCATAATTTAACAAAAATAGCCTTTCACAAAAATTAATCTAGTTACGTAGAGAGTAATTTTGTACAGATTAGGTAAATAATTCGCACTCATCCATAAGATAGTGATCATAAAACGTAAACTCGCAGTGAGAGCACCAAAACTCAATACGAGCAAGTACGTAAATAAATTATATTTTCAAGTTTATTCATGTCAGCAACAATACGCCACAGAAATTAACAACCTGTCAATGTCTACAATTAGTACTTATTTACAATAGTAAAATAAATAATAATATAGTCAATCTATAATGTATCACGGCTGGGCAGTCCTAGATATTTTTTGTATTTAGTAAACGAATAACTAGTTGGTAATAATGATATCTATCTGTTTTTTTTTTCGCCGGAGACAAAAATGATATTGCGTATTTTTCTTAACTGCACATTCTGTGGATTTATTTCATTATTTTGAACAATATACGAAACTTAAGTGACTAAAATTAAATCTAATCTGAACCAGAATCATAAAAACTATTATTCGTGCTAAACGAATCTACCTAATAAAGATCTGTTATTTTTATCTCCTGCGAAAAAAACAAACTATAGGAATCTATCGAGTACCTAGGTACATAAACAAAGTATCACCTATAAATAAAATATTACAAAGCGGAATAACTAATAAAGAGTGGCAACGTCGCACCATACAAAGGAATTGCGTTAAGCAGGAGAATGAATTAAAAACTATGTATATTACGGGAATTCTGGATAATTGGTAATATGGAAGGGAGTCCTGATTGGTTTCCCTCCGTCTGCCAATATACGAATATTTGTATATAGACATATGGTAAATTTTCAAAGAAATGAGTTAAACACTATCCTTGAAATTATTTAATGGACCAATATTAGCTGTCATAATGTATAAAAATTGCCTACAAGTGGTGGACGCTACAATAATGCGAAATGAAAGGATGTAGGATTAATATTGTGATGTGATATATATATATATATATACATATAAAGTATATATACATAAGTATATATATATGCATAACACACATACTCATACACACATGGGCACATATTTTCTATATATACGGTTATACTTAATTATTTAGATTAAGAATATAAATACATACACAATTACATACATTTTGAATATTCTTTTTATAATTACTTTTGGGCCACAACTGCCTTATTTTTGTGGTGCGAGTAGCTTTGGATGCTGCCTACCAATCTTAGATTACAGGCTTGAAGCGATATATGTATATGATATTGATTACAGGAAAATGTTTGATAAAGTCAGTGCAGAATCAAGAAGAGTTAAAGGAATTATTCACGGCAATACTGAAGTCATACAGGGAATCAAAAACATTGCTGATAAAGATCAATACTTTGCTGACATCCTACGCATAAATAAAGATGTCAACCAACATAAACTGAGGATATCAATGACTGCAGATGGCAAAGTTAACTTAAATGCACAACACAAATTCAACCCATCTGATTTAAGCAACATAGGAAAAGTAGAAAGATCAGAATTGTTTAGTTCTTTAGGTCCTGCTTCTGTTACAACAAAAAATGTACCGACAAGGATCTTGCCCACTACACCTGTTGCACAATATGTTGATTCAAAGAAAGAAGACAGCAAACTCATTTTACTTCCTCCTGGGGAAATAATACAAATTGGTGTATATTTTATACGAGTCAGTGCGTCTGGCGCAGAAAATATTGCAAAAATGTTGGAAAATGTTAGTCAAGAAATCTACCAAAGTCTAATGACCCTTTGCTTTAATTTAATCGCAAAATTATTGCCCGAAGATATTGCCAGGTTGAAGCTTTTAAGTCCAGAAGAAGACTTAATATCACAAATTGTAAAATTTGTGTTCAACTATCTGCAACATAAAAGACCGCTTGGTGATCCGTGCAGGGATACCGACAATGGTATTGTAATAGTGTTGAAAGAATTTTTCCAAGATGGCATCATTCGTCAAGATACAATTTTGCAACTGAGGGAAAAGTTAATTTTTTGGATTAATGAAGAAATCAATCGGAGGAGTGCGATGTATCCACAAAGGAAACAAATGATTTGTGACCTCTGTCAAGGCATTCGCTTTGCTTAACCTCAAATCATGTTAGCAAACATTGAATGCAAATAAAACATGTTTTATATTTGTGTTCACTGGGTAACAAAGCATCAATTGCACATCTTGCACACCAAAACAACAGCAACCTGAAATATATGCATGCTAATAAGTACGGAGTAGTGGCGGTGTAACAATCAACTACCTACCACATGGGTGGCGTAAATTGCGACTGCGGGAAAAAAAATCGGTTAAAAAAAAACTTCGGTTGCCAACCCGCTTGCCAAGCGTAGCAACTGTGGCAGATATGCCCCCTATGAAGCAATCTATAGGGGAGGCCCATGTCCAGCTATGGCCTTTACAGGTTGTAACGCTAACAGTAAACAAATTTGAAACATTGACTAAAAGTAGGTTTTTTACGCCACTTTTATCTTATAATTAAAGAGTTTCCCTTTCATAGTACATTTTCACACATTTTCCCACTACACTATTTCTTATTTATTGTTTTTAATTTTAATATTTCTAAGGTATTCTGCAAGTAAAAGTTCTATTTTAACATATTTTTTATGGGGTATCTCTATAGTTTTTTCATCTGGTTGGGTTCTATAAATATATATTTGTAAAAAGTGAAATGATAAATTTACATCAATATCAATAAAATAAAATAAATACATAAAAATATATAAATAAATAAAAACCCCACCAGACGGAAGCCCTCGGCAGGGGAGACCAAACGGCCGAGGGTTAGGGGGAAAGGAAAAGAAACCGGCGGACAATGCGAGTGGTATCGAGGAGCACCGCCTTCTGAATTTGAGTCCGGAGCGGTCCGGCACAGAGTCCCAGTCGCTTTAGATGACCAGAGAGGCTGACTGGGATTAGCCCGTTTGCAGAAACGACTACGAGTACAGGTATAATTTCGGTCGACAGCCTACCCCGGTCAGCCACTTCGTGAGGCAGGTCCAGATATTTTGTTCGCTTATCTGTTTCGGCTTTCACCAGGTTCTCGTCATACGGAATAGTAATGTCGACCAAAATGTCCTTGACTGGGCCCGGTCCACCAGCACAATATCAGGCTTTCGCAAGAATAGTCCTGTCTGTGATGATGAGCTGGTCCCAGTAGTCTGGCGCGGTCATTTTCGAGCACGGCTTCCGGCAAGTACTTGTAATACGGAAATTTCAGACCGTATTTCAGAGCGAGCTCCTGGTGTAGAATTCTGGCTACTAGGTTGTGCCTGTGCAAGTACTCAGAGTTAGAAAGCGCCGAACAACCGGAGATGACACGCCTAAGTGACTCCCCGGGATGGTGGCAAGCTTGAAAGACGTCGACGGTCGACGGCCTTTAGAATGTATCTCCGATAGTTGTTGGTCTTAATAACGTGATCCTGTATTGCACAAACAAAACCGTCGGTTTCCCCGAAGAGGTCACCGAAACGTAGCCAGTTGAGGGAGGCGATTGTATCTACGAAGGGCTCATGTAGAGCCCTGTAGTATCTGCCGTGGAGCTCCTTCTCCTTCCATATGGTCTCCCGGTCGGAAATGCTTTGTACTGCTGGGTGCTGCAATTGCTCGTTGGCTAAGGATAGAGGGGTAAGCCCTTTATCACAAGAAATGACGTCCCTATAGAATGGAACATCTGATCTCGTCAGAAAGTAATTACGGAGGCTACACTTCGCGAACATATTTTTATTATTATGTATTAATGAATTAAAATGTATAAATGTATGTAATTCAATTTATAAATCAGTTTTCATCCAAATTTTGCAGACATACAATATGATATTCTCACATCGAAGCCCATAATCGATGCATGTTAAGTTTTTTTTATCATAAATATTACATATTAAATATACAATATTGCATTTAAGAATCCCGCTTGTATGCCGCGGCCCCGCACATCGTGATAACGCGAATATTCGAGTTATCGCCACATATAGCCACGTATTCGTGAATACTTCGTCACTTCGTGCGAAGGCGCAAGCACATCGCTTCGCTGTCGGTAAACTTTCCCACATCAAAGCATTCTATCGCGATGGACCTCGCTTGTGCAACCACACTTTAGTCTGCCCACAGACATCTTGCGTAGCGGATGTTTTAAAGTGAATTGGGGTTAGCTACGTATTTTCGACAAGGACAATTTTCTGAAGTAATGAGAAGATTAATAATTTTATGAGATATTTTGAATAAATAATGCAAGCGTCTAAAGCTGTCCCATGTTGGCACAAACCTAGTAAAAAATAATTATTCGCTGCCATATAACATAAAGCGACGCCGGCGTCCATTTTGTTTAGCGTGAGTTTATCACGATTAACTTTACAACGCGCAGTATGGCCAGGCACCGTCGCCGTAGGCCAAAGGCGAAGTTTTATCGCGCTAACTCAATTGCGATGTGTGTGGCCTAGGTAATAAAAATGATTATAACAACTGTTTTTTTTTTTTAAATTTCTTGCTTACGCAATGTAGTCACATCATCATTTTTGCTGTTAAGGAAATGTTTGAAATCTAACAAAAAATAATGTCTTCTAAATAGCTGAAAGCAAATTTTAAATTTCTTTTTTATTATTGGAGGCTTTTTATAAAACAAGGTAGGCATTCCTATTTCTATCCAAAGAATTTAGTATAACTAATATACATATCATGTACTTTGTGAGTTATATTCAAAATAAAAAAAAATGATATTATATATCAGTTAATATAATTTTTTAGAAATATAATAATCAAATAACAAATAGGTGCAATGTGATATAATGGTAATATATTATTTTATTGGTCGACTTAAAAAAATGTGCCTTTATTATGCCTGCTCACATAACCGCGCTTCACATTTTTACATTTTGGGTAAAGGATCATGATGAATAAAAAAAATTTACTCCGCCGTATTTGTTTTATTTCTACTCTGTAATATATGTATTGTCAGTACTTTTAATTTTGTATCCTGCATTTTTACAAGTTACTCTTATCACGTATCAAAGTATATTTTATTTCAAATACTTAGGAAAAATTATAACAATTAAGCGCCTTTATCTTTATCCTTTTCGGCTATATCATGCTGCACTCTCGGATTGTACTGAAAAAATTTTGCGATGAAGTACCTGCATAAAGAAAGACCATGGTGCATATGATTATAATATTTGTATAGGTATGAACAAAGTAAGGCTACACCGTTGTTACCACCGAGGATTGATGGAAAACCACCTGTTATTAGTATACTGTAACTCTTATAGTAAGGGTATGTTCCGAAATGTTTCCAGTATAATGGCGAATGCAAATGACGTCATTAATTGACGGCATATTCGATAGAACGAATCACCAGAATGGCGTCGATTTATGACGTCATTTGCATTGGCCAGTGTACTGGGCTGTATTTTGGAACATATCCTATGAGTATAATTTGGTGCTATGTATATTAATATCATCATCATCATCATCATCATCATTACAGCCCTTCACAAGTGCACTGCTGAACATAGGCCTCCCCCAAGTAACGCCACAAAGCACGGTCCCGAGGCACCTGCATCCATCGACTTTCTGCATGTCTTACCAGGTCATTACTCCATCTAGTGGGGGGTCGCCCTACACTACGCCTACCGGTACGAGGCTGCCACTCGAGAACCTTTCTTTCCCATCGGTTATCGGTTCTTCGAGCTATATGGCCGGCCCATTGCCACTTCAGCTTACTAATCCGTTGGGTTATGTCGGTCACTCTGGTTTTACTCCGGATATCCTCATTTCTGAACCTATCACGCAGAGAAACTCCAAGCATAGCCCTCTCCATAGCTCGCTGAACGACCTTGAGCGTCCTCATACGGCCAGCAGTGAAGGACCACGTCTCAGATCCGTAAGTCATCACTGGCAACACGCACTGGTTATACACTTTAGTTTTCAGAGATTGAGGTATACCTGACGAGAAGATGTGTCGTAATTTCCCGAACGCTGCCCAGCCGAGTTGAATCCGTCGATTGACCTCTCGGTCGAAGTTGGACTTACCTAGTCGGACTATTTGTCCCAGGTAAACGTACTCGTCAACAACTTCGAGCATAGTGCTCCCAACAACTACCGGCATAGGTGTGACATGGACATAAAACATGATCTTTGTTTTGTCCATATCAATATATACAGGGTTATTTTGCAATAACCGGTCAAATTTGCAGAGATGGTTCAGAATAAGTAATATAGGTAAATGGTGAAGAAAAATTAATAAAAAATCTCGAACGTTCTGTCCTTTTTATCTTTTAAATTCAAAATGCGTGGTAATGCATTATTTTAACTGATTTCACTGTGCACACATCATACGTAAGGGTCGATCGGTAGACAAAAACGTTGCCCATAATCTCGTTCAATTTGGGACAATTTCAAATAAAGGTAGTTAAGCCTTATTTACTCGTATTTTCAAAAACTGCAATATCTGTATATTTTATGTATTTGAACATTTTAAAATTTGGCTAGTCTGAAAAATAAACCTGTACATAAAACAAAAAATGTTTTTTGTTTGTGTTGTGTTGTTTCTACCTATGTCCGTTATAGACTGAAACCATCCAAGCCATTTTTATGAAATATTTTGTGTGTTTGAATGGGTTACTAGATGGTTTATGTTCACTTTTGGAACCGGTAGGTGGCGCTGTTGTCGAGATCTAGAAATCACAAGTGCGAAGAGCTGGGGCGGATTACAAGTTATTATTAGAAAGAGAGTTGTGTATTTTTTTATAATAAACGAAATCGTTAGAAAAGATTTAGAAGTAACTTAAGGGGATATAGTAAGTCAGCTCAAATTCTAATTTCCCCCCCACTTCCCCGCGCGTCGTATGCTATGTACCGACATGTTTGTAATCACTAATACTGTAAGTAGATAGGTCGTATATCTTCGTCGTCGATACTTATTTCATTAGGTTTATCATATTTATGCCTGTTTTTTAACGCCAACCCAGTCGCTTCTTATTTTTATAACGGTTATTTCTCATTTTAATTTTATGTCGTCATGTTGCGTAATGTGTATTCTGATCGTAAGCGACACAACTTCTCCCTTCAAAAGCCGGAGCGATACTAACGGGGCGACAGGAATCAAGCTTACGCGCCGATAGTTTAGGTAATTTCTTTTTACAGTGAAAATAGCGGTATTTAAAAAAAAGTAAATAACATAAGCACTGCTTTATAGTTAGTTCAGTTAGTATGCAAAGTTTCATGATCTTATTTAAAGTATTTTATGAATAACAGCGGTTTATTGTTCAGTTTGGAGGTAACTTTTGATTTTTTTTCTATCTGGAAAATTTTACGGAATCGTGTTTTCGTCTAACATAGTCCTTAACATTAATCCTCAACTTTACCATATATTTATTTCAAAATTAATGCTGCAATACTTTCGGCATAACGGAGGATCTTGATAAGCCATTTGAGGTTATATTTCCCCTAAATGAAAAAGCTTCCATCACATAAAAACAATTCACACTGTTCTTGTTTGTCTGAAATTAGGTAATTGATTTTAAACTAACTTTACGATGATCTGGATACTTGAAAATTTGAACATAGCTCAAATTCGATGATGATGAGATGAATATGATAAAAAAACAGTAATTTTTTTTAAATTTCATGTCTTTAAACCAATATTTAAACATAAGTTTTGAATTTTATAAAATATTTACTTCTAAAAACTCTCTTTAAACGGATTCAAAACTACAATGATTAGGCGACAGTAGGAATCTACAAGAGTTAGACAAAGGTTCTACAACATAATCATAGTGATTCGCGAGAATATGTAAAAAAAAATATTTAAGAGATCCACAGTAAAGTACATTTAAGAAATTTAATTATATTTGAAAATGTCTTGGTGGGGTTCTTACTGGTTCTTTCCGGGACAGGTTTTTTCCGAATCAGTGGTAAAAGCATAAATGACTCAATATAATATTCTTATAATATATTCTATTAGCGGCAGAAATGGGCAAGAGGGCTGGTATCTAACCAAAATATACCTCGTACGCGGTAAAGGAGCCTATTGAAATAATTAAAATTACCAAATAAAATTAAAAAAATTCTGCTATATATTTTCTGAAATATTTACCTGATATAATTGAGTAGTTATTTGAGTAATGTAGAGTATAGTGCGACAAGCTACGACGATCCGATTAGGTACAAATTGGTACTAATCTCTGATAGATTACGATGTCTGGTGAAACTTTAGCGGTAAGATCAGACATGGGCATGGATTGTTAAGAGTGGCAGTGTCTGAGATACGGAATAATTTAATGAAACTGGACCAAAAATAATTTATTTTCTACAAGATATTGAGGGTGGGAATTTAGAATTCTATCGATCTATCCTAGTGTAGTGTAGGGTGAGAACTATGAGGCGAGTTGCTGTTGCAGTTTTACTTAGTCTCAGCGAGTTCGACTAACCCGTCCTTGGTCAACCGAAGCGTGTTTGCGCAGGCGTTTCTCCATCCCCCAGAACGAGTTCCCGCCTGTGACGGGTGGCTTATTACTTAGTTGCGGTAAGTCGCGTACACTTGGCGAGCCCACTACGGGTTAGATACACAATGTAGTGTAGAGAATCCCCAGTCAGTGTCAACACGACACGAGACGAAACGAGATATCGGGTAGTGAAATCGAGGTGTCAGAGGAAAATAAAATAGGATGTACGCAGTAGAATCTTCCTAATAACAGCGTAAAATATGATGACATGGGAAGACGGGTTACCAGCTGCCTGCCAAGAGTGGTAACTATGGCAAATATCCCCCGATAATGCAATATAATAGGCATGAAGGTTAGAGAACAGGAGAACGAACGCCGTAGAAAATAATGTCCCCGAAATATCGACACCATAAGTGAGGCGCTGCGATGGCTAAGTTCGGTCAATAAAAGTCATTTTCAGTATATTTTTCCGATCAGATGCTAAACCACTTCCACATCCACGAACTATAAGATATTTCTCCATTTTTTAATGTTTCTTATTGTCAAAAATTACAAAATTACGGAGCATGAAAATTTTCTCACCAATGCCGCAGAGAAAATTTGTACATTATTCAACTAACTTCATCTACTTGTACTCATAAACAGCTAACTTCGCAGTCACTACTCACCGACGTCAGCACCGCTATAAATTCTACGATTTTCAAGGACAGGTAGTACTTTACTTTAGTACGTAGTGATCGTTCTCCTGTTCTCTAATCTTCATGCTAATAGGGAAGCATATGTTCAGCAGTGAACTTTTGAAGAGCTGTAATGAATGAATAGAAAATAAACAAAACAATGACAGTAATTACCCACCAGATCAATATTTCAACAGTGATAAGTGCGCAAGCGGCGAAAGTTTGCGCGACAATTCTTGCAGGCGCCGCCTTGCTTCTAAGTACGGTGACGAGTAACGCGTCGCTCACATCCGACGCGGTCTCCAAGGCTGCCACTAGCAGAGCTGGCGCAGCCAACCATCGAGCGCCTCGTTGCCACCACGATTGCTGAAGCGATTGTATCATATGGTAATGATAGTTTTCTATTAGTTTCTTTCGGCTAGACCGTACGCCACCTCTCCTTCCTCATTAGCCCGTAACAATTCGTGTTCCTTAATGATCACGATAATCACGAAAACTAAGCTTAATTATCAAGCGGTCTATAGAATCTTATACTTAAAAAAACTGTAGTTAACTTTTTCAGTCATACTCGATATAAGTAGATAAGTATAATAAATTGCATTATAAAGAATGCACACAAGTTTTTTTTTTAAATATTTTGATCATAAAATTATGGAAAAAAATGTACTCTCACTTTTTCTAATTTAAATATTCAAGAAGTATAACGTAGTAGGCCGTGTAGTGGCGGTTAAGAATATCCACTACCCCATATCTTCCCGTGGGTGTCGTAAGAGGCGACAGAGGGAGACAGGCAGGAGATGGGCAGCAGCATCTTCCTGATAACAGCAACTGTACGACAAAAAAAAACTGCGGTTGCCAACCCGCTCGCCAAGCGTGGCAACTATGGCAATATACCCCCCATGAACAATTACACAAATAGACGGCCCCCAGTCCCCGGCGGCCCCGCTATTCCTGGCTACGGTGGCGACCATGGTAACGGCGGGGCAGGGGGTGCTAAGAATCTCCGGTGGAGGTTCGGTTGCCACCTACGACGACTCGACCTGGCAACATTTAACGCACGCACACTGAGGACTGACGAGAAGATCCTGGAGCTGGAAGAAGAGATAGACAAGTTGCGCTGGAGTATTATAGGATTATCCGAGGTCCGAAGAGAGGGGGAGGACACGGAGATTCTCGAATCCGGCAACTTGTTCTATCACCGGGAGGGCGACCATCTGTCCCAAGGAGGTGTCGGATTTATCGTCCACAAGTCTCTCGTCAACAACGTTGTACAGATTGAGAGTGTGTCGACGAGGGTCGCGTACCTGATACTCAGAATCACCAAACGGTATTCGCTGAAGGTCATACAGGTTTACGCACCAACGTCGGCACATTCCGATGAGGAGGTGGAGGAAATGTATGAGGATATTTCCAAAGCCATACATTCCTCCAAAACCCACTACACGGTGTTGATGGGAGACTTCAACGCAAAACTAGGCACAAGAGAAAACGGTGAGCTGAAGTTAGGGAAATTTGGAGTAGGGCAACGGAACCGAAGGGGCCAGCAGCTGGCCGACTTTATGGAGAAAGAGGGACTCTTTATGATGAACTCTTTCTTCCAGAAGCGGCCCCACAGGAAGTGGACCTGGTCGAGCCCCGACGGTTCGACAAAAAATGAGATTGACTTCATTATGACGACCAGACGCCAACTGTTCAGTGATGTCTCAGTGATCGCAAGGGTAGAAAACTGGCAGCGATCACCGAATGGTTAGAGGCACACTGAACCTAAACGTTAAGTTGGAGAGGTCTCGTCTAATGAAGTCAACGCTCCGTCCCCCCTCGTGCTCTGATCCAAAATCCCGAAAACTTTCAGCTCGAGTTACACAACCGCTTTCAGTGCCTACAAGATTGCAATGCAGTGGACGATATGAATGACAAGCTCGTGGAAACTGTCCATGCGGTCGGAGCTAAGTTCTGCAAGACCCGCCGCAGAAGAACACAAAAACTCTCCGATCACACTCTTAATCTCATGGCTGTTAGACGGGAGATGAGGCTGCAATCGTCAACAGATTTGACAGCATACAGGCAACTGAACAGACAGATCTCCAAATGCATGCGGCGAGACTTACGCAACTTTAATACTGCTCGTATTAAAGAAGCGATCGAGCGGAACCAGGGCTCCAAAGTCTTTGCCAGAGATCTGTCTGCCAGAAAGAGCCAACTGTCAAGGCTGAAGACTGAGTGTGGCAGCATCGTTTCCGGGACACCTGAGATTTTGAGTGAGATTGAGAGGTTCTATGGGCAGCTGTACACATCATCGTTGGAGCCACACGCAAGTGTGAGTAACGATCCAAGAGCAAGTCTTATCCGACACTATTCCGATGATATCCCGGACGTCAGTCTAAGCGAGATTAGAATGGCTCTCCAGCACCTTAAAAACGGCAGGGCCCCAGGCGAGGATGGAATTACAGCGGAGCTTCTGAAAGCGGGTGGAACACCAGTACTTGAAGTCCTTCAGAAGCTCTTCAATTCCGTCCTCCATGGTGGCACTACTCCAGAGGCGTGGAGCAGAAGTGCGTTGGTCTTGTTCTTTAAGAAAGGCGACAACGCTCTCTTGAAGAACTACAGACCGATTTCCCTTCTGAGCCGCGTCTACGTGCTGTTTTCGAGAGTCATTACGAATCGTCTCGCACGCAGACTCGACGACTTCCAGCTTCCCTAACAAGCCGGTTTCCGAAAAGGCTTCAGTACCATAGACCACATACATACCCTTCGGCAGATTGTACAGAAGACTGAAGAGTACAATTTGCCACTTTGCCTGGCGTATGTGGACTATGAGAAAGCCTTTGATTCCGTCGAAATTTGGGCGGTGCTGCAGTCCCTTCAGCGGTGCCAAGTTGACTGTCGGTATATCGAAGTGCTGAAGTGTTTGTACAGTAGGGCTACGATGGCTATCCGAGTACAGAACCAGAGCTCGAAACCTATCCAACTGCAGAGAGGTGTAAGACAGGGTGACGTTATATCCCCGAAACTCTTCACCGCTGCTTTGGAAGACGTTTTCAAGCTACTGGACTGGAAAGGATACGGTATTAACATCAATGGCGAGTACATCACTCACCTTCGATTTGCCGACGATATAGTCCTTATGGCAGAATCGCTGGAGGACTTAAGCACTATGCTCAATGACCTCAATAGTGCCTCCCAACGGATAGGTCTTAAGATGAACATGGACAAAACAAAGATTATGTTTAATGTCCATGTCACACCTATGCCGGTAGTTGTTGGGAGCACTATGCTCGAAGTTGTTGACGAGTACGTTTACCTGGGACAAATATTCCGACTAGGTAAGTCCAACTTCGACCGAGAGGTCAATCGACGGATTCAACTCGGCTGGGCAGCGTTCGGGAAATTACGACATATCTTCTCGTCAGGTATACCTCAATCTCTGAAAACTAAAGTGTACAACCAGTGCGTGTTGCCAGTGATGACTTACGGATCAGAGACGTGGTCCTTCACTGCTGGCCGTATGAGGTCGCTCAAGGTCGCTCAGCGAGCTATGGAGAGGGCTATGCTCGGAGTTTCTCTGCGTGATAGACTCAGAAATGAGGATATCCGCAGTAAAACCAGATTGACCGACATAGCCCAACGGATTAGTAAGCTGAAGTGGCAATGGGCCGGCCATATAGCTCGAAGAACCGACAACCGATGGGGAAGAAAGGTTCTCGAGTGGCAGCCTCGTACCGGTAGGCGTAGTGTAGGGCGACCCCCCACTAGATGGAGTGACGACCTGGTAAGATATGCAGGAAGTCGATGGATGCAGGTGGCTCAGGACCGTGCTTTGTGGCATTACTTGGGGGAGGCCTATGTTCAGCAGTGGACTTGTGAAGGGCTGTGATGATGATGATGATGATGAGAAATATAACATTATTATTATACCTAATAGTAATGTTATACATAAGGACACATACATTACGAAATAAATATCTAAGAAACTTCTTCTTCGAATTGAATCTATGTATATTATTATTACCTTCGACATAACTGCAAGAAGTAACAGCAAGGAAGTGATTGCTGTGACAGTTGCACTAAGCTTCCCATAACCTATCACTAGGCGGATAGTTGGTTTAGCTATACTGAAACAAAAATACAAAAAATTAACTCAATATATGCACGTTCTTGACCGTGTAGTGGCGGTGTACAAGTTAAATGTTGACAGCGCCCTAGGCTCACACCTCATCGGCGCCTCTCAAGCGGCCATAACATATTTTAAATTATAACTACTCATTTTGCAAATAAACTATATTATAATTTATAATATAGAATAATAGTTGCAAAATAATTAGGACTTGAGTACACTTAACAGGTGGGTGTGAATTGAAAATGTCATGAGAGAGAGGCGATGTAGGAGTAACCAAATAGACGTTTTTTTTTTCGTTTAAAAACTCGTGCGCACCCCATCACTCACCTTGTGCCCCTAAGCCGTGCCTAGTTTGTCTTAAGAATAATCCGCCTCTGGCGATGTAAAAATGTTTATATTTACCATATTGTATCGACCCGTGGATATCAAAAGAAGCGACAGAGGAAAAATTAAACACTCAAAATTATAAAAAACTGCGGTTGCCAAAAAGGCAATCTCTGGAGGAGGCCTATTTTCAGCTGTAAACTTTTAAACGCTGTAATAGATGGATGGATAGATAAAAGTACGTTCTGTAACAATAATTAAAAGTTATATTGGCCACCTTTTGCATTCTTATGATGTATATTGCCACACACTCGTCGAGTGGCATGGGACGTAGCGGGGAAAGGAGGCAAAGACGTAGTGCGGCCACAATACTCGTCATGCTCCTCGTCATGCCCATTGCTCCGTTTTGTCGGTTTTTTGGGTGCGAGTCAAAGGACTAGCGATGTGAGCGTGAATGGCCGGCCACGTAATCGCTCGAACGCAGTACTAATCGAACGCTCGTTACGGGGCGTCGTTCTATTGCGATGAATAGATGTCATCCACTACCTCTGTTGACTAGGAAGACGACCTATAATTCTTTTTATGGCATTGATATGATTAGCTGTACTAAATATGCATATAGCGCGAATGCTGCCACATTTTCAAAAATCGTGTTGCAAACGCGAGTAAACCAATGCGGAGCGTCACGAATAATTGCGCGTAGAGCAGTGTGTGGGCAGAGAGAGCAACATTGCGGCATCGCGAGGAGTAGAGCGATGAGCAGCGCGAGGAGCATAGTGCGGCGGAGCCAATAGATTTGGAAGATTGTTAGTTAGATTTCTTGTAGGGAATACAATAAAATTATCGAGCCATTTTCTCCGTTGTAACGAAAAAATATTTTTAGGTAAATGGAACATTGAAGCGACCCATATTGGCGAACAATATGGGTTTGCAGCTTACGTAGGGATAACATAATAAATTAATGCGCAATACACAATCGTTCTGATGGCAATAATTTATGTGATTAGCACCCATGACGACTGCATTGGAATATAAATTAGGATATTTAATAACTCCAATCTGAAATTGTAATGGCTCTGATTCCTGGAAAAGCAAATACTATGCTCCTGTACTTAGATATCTCTAATGGACAGTCTGATTGTTTTTTTACAGATCGAAATATCATTGAATAAAAAAAAAAACAGTTTTTTATAGATGTCTCAGTATGTAAATAATTCATTTCGAATGTCTCGAAAACAAATTATGATATCGATATTAAAGCAGTTTAATTCGATTAGTAATCGTATAATAACTATTTAAGTTTTCAATGAATATCTACGATCGATAAGTTGTATAAAATTTTTATGCAAATTGTAATTGTAAGTTTGACTGCTCCGTGGCGCAATGGTTTAGCATAGAGTTGCGACACTAAGGGACGCAGGTTAGAATCCTTAGTCTACTAATAATTGTTCCTGGTCTCGATGTAATTTTTGCATGTACCTTCATAATGCAGGAGAAAATCCAAGTATAGGGAAAACTTTCTTTAGGAGATAAGAAAATAATAGTGTAATAAGGGCTCATAATTAATAAGTGAACAACATACCGCCTTGCAAAGCTTACGTTGTTCAGCCTTTGTGCTACTTCATCGTCGTCTAGTTCGAGCTCGACAGGTTGGGAAGCGACAGCGCATACTGACATAGACACTCCAAACAGGGCTACCATTAGAGCACGTAGTTTTGTTCGGACACCATCTGTTGTTTCGTCGGTATCGTTGTTTGACTAAAAATATATAAGTAAATTATATTATGGAGGAAGCGTCGGATAAAAAACCACTGTATCGCATGGATGTGATTATTTACACGAAAATAAGAAACTTGTGCTTTTAACTTCAGGGTATCGTACAATTTGCTTACAAAATTATAAGAGTATTGAAGCACAATACCTTAATATTCTCCTGTTTCTCGTGCTTCAATTTCAACCTATCTAATAGCAGGCAGCTTTCATTTTCCATTCTTTTTCCTGTCCAATACCGAAATTTCTAGTTTATATTTTTAACATGTTCTCACAGCTCATGATAATAAATAATATTTCTGATACATAAAATCAAAATGAGTTATTTGATTCGGAACATACTTAAGTAGATATTGTTCCACGTGCCGATTTATGTTGAGTTGTCAAAATAATCATATTCTTTTTCTAAAATAAACATAGAGCATCGTCCGTTATGGTTTTAAATCACTGCACAATTACCTACGTGTATCCCGACCGAAAAGTTTACATAAGCTACATACGCTCAGATTAAATTAAAAAAATATAAACGTAATTAAAAATAAGAAAAAATTAATATAATGCGCCATTTTAACATATTATACGGGTTGAACAGACAATTGTGCTAGCCTTTTTAGCTATTTTAGGGTATCTTACATCAAAATGTAAAAAAAACAGTAGGTACCCTTATAGGATCCTGTTGTTCCTCTGTCTGTCCGTCCGTCTATCCTTGTCAAGGCCCTTTTTAGGAAAAGTTAAGATATCTAGAAAGATAGTACTCAATACATATTAAGGTATGCTATATACCTTTGAAGTGTTGCCCCTTGGAAGTGTAAAGAAAATCAATGTTCTGTGTAAACGCAATTAAAAATACGATCATTCATATCGCATATTTTGATACTCACAAACTCGATTATTAAACCAATGGGGTAGGTACTTTCCTTTGACCTGGCCGAATATGTAAAAGAAATGTCCGAGGCAAATTTATAACGACCTAATATAAAAGTTAATCTTTGTTTGTTCGTAATTTATGTGCTGTAAAAGTAAAACTTTGTCAAGTTATTGCTTGCACTTGCGCAAAGGTTACAGGCATGAATAATAATAATAATGTCCTACAGACCGAATTTCGGCCACGGCGGCCTGTCTCAACGGAGGCTAGCCAACGGCGCAGGACAGGAATACAATGCCCAAGTGTATGCGCGAGCACGGGTGCACTCTCTATTACCTCACTCTCGTAATCCGATGGGACGGTAAACCGACACGACCGAAGAGAGACCAGGCGCAGGACCAACGGCTTTACATGCTTCCCGAGACACGGGGGTGAGACACCGCCAACTTTCCTGACTCCGGGTAGCTACTGAAATTTTTTTGACAGATAAACTCAATAATTGATTTTTTGGCCGACCCGGGATTTGAACCCAGGACCTCATGATCAGCAGTCGCACTACTACAACCACTAGACCAACGAGGCAGTCAGGCATAGTAAAATTATCTCAATGTGCCCGTATCGACAAATTTGTTTGAAGTTTATATATCATTCAACTTCAATGATCCTATGAAAAGTCCTGTGATGAAAATAATCCTTCTATAATATAATATATAATAAATTCCTCATTAAATAATATAACTCTTCCAAATTTAAAACTATATTCATACAATTATTTATCTGCGGCTGCAACGCGCCGGACACCAGCTAGTATCACTTAAAGTATTTTTTCAGTGTTACAAACTTACATTTGCAGTTGGGCCATCGACCGGAAATATAGATCGATACATGGCAGAACATTTTTTTCAAACTTAAGTTTGTAAATGTTCGTATCCAGTCGCTCCTAGAAGAACAGGTAGCAGCTGTTACTAAGGCCATGATAGATAGCTACCATGAATCATGTCCAGAAATCACTCCACCAAGGCATGCCGAGGTAAAGCAACAGTGGTGGGGTGAAGAACTCGATAGGAAACGTAAGAAGGTAAGAAAAGCCCTAAACAGGGCCATAAATACCTCAATGGATGAAGACTGGCTACTATATAAGAAAGCTAAGTCTGAATACAAAAAATGTATCAGGTATGGACGCTCGACTGGGTGGCGTAAATTCTGTGGCAACATAGAAACCTGCAAACAAGCAAATAGGATAAGGAATATTCTAGCTAAACAGAACACGTCGGGATCCATGTCTCTAAAGAAACCCGACGGTAGCTACTCAACATCGCCGGATGAAGCCCAACGCATCCTAATTAAAACGCACTTCCTAGGTTGCTGCATAACCCAGGAGGCCAACCGGCATGACGACATACTGACACCAACAGTAGAAGACTGGAATTTGGCACAGAGAGTGGTAACGATGGACAAAATCCATTGGGCCATTCACAGTTTCCTCCCCTATAAGGCGGCAGGACCTGACGGCATATTCCCGGCACTCCTACAGTGGGGGGGTAAAGCCCTAATAGTCAGACTTGTTGCCATAATGAGAGCCTGTCTGGCTCTAAAATATGTTCCTAGGGGATGGAGGGAAGTGAAAATCACATTTATACCCAAACCAGGTAAGAGCGATTACACTGACCCTAAATCCTACAGGCCCATTAGCCTCACATCCTTTCTCCTAAAGACGATGGAGAGGATGTGTGAAAGGGAATTAAGGGGCTCGGCGCTAATGAACTTATCACTACACGACAAGCAACACGCCTACAGTCTAGGCAAATCAACAGAATCGGCACTTCATCAGGTAATTACAAAGATTGAAGAGGCCATCCAAAACAAAGAAATATGTCTAGGTTCCTTCATAGATATAGAAGGTGCTTTTGACAGAACAAACTTCTCCAGCATAAAAGGTGCACTCAGTAGACATAAAGTTGAACCGGCACTGAACGACTGGATAGTTTGCATGCTCAGTACACGAATAATAAAGATTGCTGGTGAATCTCAACCAATCCTAATTAAGAAAGGTTGCCCGCAGGGTGGGGTCCTCTCACCTCTCCTGTGGAATATGGTCATTAATGAACTCATCGGCAAATTAAATACTAATCACTTCTATACAGTAGGTTATGCTGATGACCTGACTATACTGGTCTCGGGAAAGACAGCTAGCATAGTGTGCGACCTGACCCAAGCGGCTCTCCGTATAGTGGAGAGATGGTGCAGGGAATACGACTTAACCGTCAACCCAAATAAAACGGTTTTAGTAATGTTCACACAAAAACGAATGCTGAATAACTATCATCTTCCAAGTCTTTTCAGCACAAAACTCCAGCTATCCTCTGAGGTAAAATATTTAGGTCTTACCTTGGACAGCAAACTTAACTGGAATAAACACATAGAAAACAAAATCAACAAAGCTAGTATAACTTTCTGGCAATGCAGAAACATGATTGGCAAAAGATGGGGACTGACGCCAAAAATCATACTGTGGCTTTACAAAACTGTAATTCGGCCCATGATCACATACGGCGCTCTGGTATGGTGGACCAAGACCAATGAAGCCACCACAATTAAGAAGCTTCAGCGCTACCAGAGACTGGCATGTATGGCTGCCACAGGCTGCATAAGAACTACGCCAACAGCAGCCTTGGAAGCGATGCTGGAGCTAACTCCGCTTCATCTACATATACAACAAGAAGCGACTTTAGCTGCCATCAGACTCAAGACCCTAAATCTTTGGAGTAAGAATAGTGTCCCTCATACAGGCATAATTGATAGAATTCACTCAGAAATTCCTATCCTACAAGCCAAATACGATAGGATTCCTAAACAATTTGTTTTCGATAAGAAATACAAGATACGATTAAATGAAAACAGCCAGCCGGAAGGATTAAGCCCAAAAGAGCTTAGAATTTTCACCGATGGTTCTAAAACAAATGAAGGTGTAGGTTCTGGAGCATTCTCTGAAGACCTCAATATTCACATATGCACACCGCTGGGTACCTATAACACGGTCTTTCAGGCGGAATGTATGGGTATCATTCAAGCGGCCATAGCAATAGATGCTAAGAAGGTTAATGACTTCCCCATCAGAATATTGACCGACAGTAGGGCGGTACTACAAGCTCTGAGTTGCAATGGGGTGAACTCGGGACTAATATATGAATGCCATCAACGATTAAATGAGGTATGTAAAAACAACAATGTGCCTCTGCAATGGATAAAGGGACACAGTGGATCCAGAGGCAACGATGCAGCGGACGAACTGGCCAGAAGAGGATCGGCTCTGGCCACTATAGGGCCGGAACCAATCATACCAATCCCCTTTGGTAACGTTCGTTCAATGGTACGTAGACACTTCACTAATCAACACGCTCAGCTTTGGAAAAATCTAGTAGACTGTAGACAAGCTAGGGAGGCCCTACCTGTAATAAACAGTCGCTTAACCAAAGTTCTAATGAGACTGAACAAGCCGCAGATCAGGATAGTAACTAGTGCTATCACAGGACACGGCACCTTTAACAAACATTTATTTACTATAGGTGTTACAGATAGTCCCCTGTGCAGGGCCAGGGAGGAAGAAACGGCGGCCCACGTGCTACTGAAATGTCCGAAGGTCGCTACGTACAGGGCTAAACATCTCGGCACGCCGGGATCACTCCCCGAAGTTGCATGCGACATCAAGGGACTGTTGAGCTTCTTCGGGGGAGATCTCATGGCTCGAATCACATTATTCCTGCCCACACGCAAAATACGCGCATAGACGTGGAGTTGCGGAAAACAGCCCGTCGCAAACTAAACTAAACTAAACTAAATGTTCGTATTTAGATTAATGTTCGGTGCGTACCTCCCCTATAACCTTCATAATATATGTAATTATCGATCGTGATTTGTTCATTGATGTATGGGGAAAGTTTTAGCCATTATAAAGATAAGCTGTTCTTCAATGAGACTCACCTTTCCAACTCACTCATCAAAACATATAAGGTATACCTACTTCTCGTTAACCTAGAATCACGAAATCCGGCAAGAAGCCTCACAGCAAGTAGAAGAAAACGTCCAAAAACCGTTAATTTGTAGTTATACAATTTAAATATTTTTAGCAACAGCAAATTTACATTTGCACATGGAGCACTGACCATGATGTGTAGACTGATGTATACCGTTAGAGTCATTAAAGTCCACTACTGAACATTGGCCCCCACTATAGATTGCCTCGTAGTGGGATATATGCCGTAGTGGCCACGCTTGGCAAGTGGGTTTGCAACGACAGTTTTTGTTTTTATTTTTAGTCTATTACGACACCCACGGAATGATATGGTGTAGTATAG